CCAGCTGGGGAATTCTGGGAGTTGAAGTCCACACATCTTAAAGTTGTCAAGGTTGAGAAACACTGCTCTAGGGTGTTTATAGCGTACATCAATTTCCCTCCTGATTTTCCTGTTCTAATATCTAGCAGATTCTTGAGGAATGGTGACTAATCCCTGTGGCTTTGCCCTATGCTCCCAAGCTCCCACTGGTTTTTCAACAATCCCATCAGAATCCATCAGAGGTTTGGTCAAAATGATAAAAAATTATGCTGACAGGCGGGGTCTGCCTCTTAGTTGCACACGACTTCATGACATACACAAAAAGGATGGTTGAGATACTGGGTTCTTGGCGTTCTCTGAGCTTGGTGGTTTCCCTGCAGACGTTTCATTGCCAAGGTAGGTAACAACATCAGTGCATAAGAGAGTGAAGTTTGCTGGCTTTTGTATATAAACAGCCAGCAAACCCCATTCTCCCCTCCCGTGATGATGTTACCTAGTCTGGTAATGAAATATCTGTAGGAAAACACCCAAGAGGACGCCAAGAACCCAACATGTTTCACTGCATGATGCCCCCATGCAGCTGCCTTTGACCCTGTTAATCATAATCCAACTCAGTAGCTTGTTCTCTACAGAACCTTTGCCATGCCCCCCCCCCTTCTTATCAAAACAGTGGTAGCTTTGAGTTCTGCAACCTTGGCATCAGATGGAATTCCCAAGTCCTCTCCGATCCATGAAATTGACTTTCTGTTGAAATACGTACTTGGTTTCTTGAGTGATATGTGAAGGTGGGATCGGCCCCCTGAGTAGGGGGCTTTGCTGAGCTATGGCCTGATATAATTTGGGCTTCTGCAAGTGGCAGCGCCTGGCTTGGCTTGGGAGCTCAGCAGAGTCAAGTCTGGTTAATCGTAGAGCTATAGGCTACACTGGAAAGTCCAAAAAAAAAAAATGCTGGGAGAAGGCAGGAGCAAACCACTTCCATCCTGTTGTCAAGAAAGCTGCATGGAAATGTCCCTGAAGTTGCTAGGCATCCTGTTCAACTGAAAGGAGACTTCCCTTTCTAATCCTTTGCACCACACAGTAGGACACCAAAACTCCTTCTCCATCCCATTGAAGTCAATGAAAATTCATCTGGGTGGTAAGAAGGAACAAGGTGACTATTTGCTAGCTTACAACATGCTCGCTCTCTTTTAAACCCATCCTTTGCTGCCCTTTGGCTGAGCTCTTTCTTCTCTGACATCCCAGAGAGGATACGTTTAAGAACAGAAGTGTCCCTGATCCACAGGTTGGGCAAACCACCTGTTGATCAAAAAGATGACTCTTGTCCTTACTGGCTTCAGTGGGACACACGAACCTCACTTCGGAGCCTGGGGTCCTGAAAGAGATCCTCCTAGGCGGATTTCCTTCATGGGCATTGCCCACATTTCACCGATGCCACTCGGCGAGTCCCATGCCTCCATCACTACGCTTTTTATTTTTGTTTTCCTGCTGTTTTTTAAATTTCATTTTATTATTGTCTCCAAAAGGTCAGGCATACGTGAGCTGCTTTGTTTTTTGTTTTTTAATACTCGTTTATTAATTTATTTATCTCCCTTTTCCTCCATTCAAGGACCCAAGCTGCTCTCTGGTTTGTGGGGCAACTCGGCATGGTGGTTCTCCTCCTGTTTTTCAAGGGCCCGGTTTGGGTCTGGAATCGGGGTGCTTGGCTCCATGAGTGGAAACGGGCTGCAAATAAAAAGAATGGGCTTCAGTGTCCCGTTTTTGCTGCAGTTCAGCACCAGAATTCATAATGCTTTCCGACACAAACTCTCATTTATATCTTAAGATGTCTGGAGCCAATGCTACTTGTTAAACAAAACACGTGGCGGCCCCTGGAAGTGTTATCCACCTGCCTTATTCTCCCCTATCCTGCTGCTGTGTTTAGTACAATGTAGCATGATATGACAGTGCTAAGCATGGCGTTTCCCTTCCCTCCCAGTTGGAATCTTTCGCTTTTTAGCATCATGCTCAACGTGAGTTATGCTAAACATCTCAGAAGAGAGATGGATGGCTACTATTTTGAGCAACTGCCCTGAGTTTGGGCCAGATTCAAATTCTTCCTCTTAAGTCCCACTGGGAGTGAATTCAGACCTCTAGAGTACCAAATGCCAACATGCCAAGTGCTGTTATTTACCAGTACACTAGGACTGTACCTGCTAACATCATTCCTGGCTTTGCAGCATAATGTCAGATTTCCACATTGGGATCTGTGAAGCCTTTCTTTCCCTCATTCACCAGCACAGGTTTCTCCGTCCTTGTGTGCCAGACAAGAATCTGGATCAAAGAAGAAGAATAGAGGTCAGTCTTCTTACATTATTCAACCAAGGGCATAGCTCGCTACATTCTCCAGAGGCGAATGGTGTCTTTCCAGTGCTTAAAGCAAATCAGAGAAAAACATGGTGGGATTCTTCTCTTCTCAGCCAGAGAAACAATGTGGACAAAAATAGTGCTGGATCTCAAGATGTTCCCCAGGCATGCTTCTTGACCTAACTTCTGCTAACTCCCATAATTTCATAATTTGGTGGCCATGCTGGCTGAGGAATTAGAAAAGTTGGTCCAGGGTGTTCAGATTAGGTATGGTCGGATTAATGCATCTCCCCTAAAAAGCACTTAGACACCCTTGGGTTTCCTTCAACATAACTGGGTTCACGTTTACTAATTGTGAGTAAGCATGCTCTGCAAAACACAGCAACGTATTGCTTCCTTGCTCATTCCTGGTTTGCTTTCATCCTGCCCAGCCCCTTTACTTATCTCTAACAGTGCAAAAGAAGAGCTGTTTGTTCATTCGTTTGTTTGTTTGTTTTAAAGGAGGGAATCTAAACCAAGCCAAACAATCCATGATTACTTTGCTTATCTGGAGGATTGACTGGTGTGCACATCATACTAAGCCGTAATGTGGTAATTTGGCTCAGGGTGTTGTGGGAATCCAGATATTGCTGCTTGCAAGCCATGACTTACAGCAGTCTTGTTAAAAAGTACATGATTAAACGAGGCATTGCCTAAAGCAAAGAACGAGTCTAAATATGTTTTATTATACTGGAGGAATTGAATCAAAGCTCCCTTCATCTAGAGTACGGCTCACCTAGTCATTGGCATGCAACAAACAAGGAGAGTACCAGGGTAAGAAAAATTACATACAAATGCCACTTGCCTTTCATCAGGAGACTAGCAAAGCTTTCCAGTGGATTCATCAGCCCCATTCACCCATTCCTCAAACACGGTTTCCAAAGGCTAACCGTGTGATCTGTAATCTGTGAACCAACAAAGGAGGCGCATGTCGTAAGCATGGCCCTCTCAGCTTCCTGACCGCTCACAGTCTTCTTGTACTGGCAGCCCCAGATGTGAAATGACCAAAAAAAGGACCACGTTGAGCAGTTGGGCTGTCACTCGCCAAAGCCTCTCATACCTGAAGCACTTGTGGTTTGGCAGATCGCACCAATTTGATTAATCCCTACTGCTACTTTAATTACACTCACACCTACTGGTCTCTGGCATTGCACACTGCCTCTCCAATTACAGGAGCTGTCGGAACCATTATCTTAGTTATTAAAACAGAAGGAGGATGATTGTCAGCTCTCCAGCGGGCTGTCACGTCTAAATCCTTTTCGGGCTGCTGAAACCATTGGCACTGGCAACCAAAATGATCCCTGGAAAAAAAGGGGGGGATCGAAATCACTGTGGTGGCCACCCAGATTACCCCCCCCCCCCAAAGCAGAACTTAACAGATCACTTTGGTGGACACCGGGAAGTCCCATTTGGCACAGAGAGGGGGAAAGACTTCACAGAGAAGCCATATATTTCTATAGTTTGGTTTTATAGGTAGAAAATCTGTACAGGAAGCTGGTAGTTGGAATGGACATGCAGGAACAGCAGCTGCCAACTAGCAAATTAGCTTAGTAGCAGGAGTATCTTTTCCACCAACATCTGCAGACCCCAGAACTTCACTACTTCTTGGCTAGAATGCCCCCTTTCCAGGGCTCTTGGTAGCTGCTGTTGAGCAGTGGATGGTTCCAGCTCTTCCTTGCGATTCTCCTTACGCTGCCATTGGGTCTTGTTGCCATAGCAATGAAGAGCATGCTATTGACCCTGTTTCACGTTTAGAGACACAGGTTGGGTTTTGCCTAGTTGGAAAGACCAGTTCTGCTTCCAGAGCACGCAAAGCTGGGCTTCTCGTTAGCTTCTCAAGCAGAATCCTACTGTTTCTCAATTTTCAGTATCGGAGCTTTGGTTCCCCTCCTCTCCAGTTCCAAGTGGCAATCCAAGGAGTTAATCTTTAAGAGGATTATATGTGCACACAGCTGTAGAAGGATGGGCAGGCATCTCACTTTATGGACAACCAAGATATGAGCAAGGGAGAAGCTTTGGGATTTCCCCTCCCATTAGCTAAACCCTAGAGAACCTTTGGTCCTTGAAAATAAGAATACAGTTGATAATGAATATTCCTTATAGCCAAACATGGAGTGGTGAGGAGGCTTTAAAAGATGAAGCACAGTAGCCAGGACATACATGCAGATAGTCCAAGATGATATAGTAAAGAGAAGTTAAAAATTTACTTTCTCAGTCCAACAGCTGTATTTCCAGGGGCATCTAATTTAGTGTTTCATTGTGAGGTGAGATAAAATGAAACACTGCAAATTGCCCCTGAATTCAAAAGTATTATTTAAAAAAACACACACACACACTTGGACACATGTTGGAAAGGTACCCAGTACATTTATGCAAAATGGAGGAATTCCACTTCATCATTTTGCTTTCAGCCTTGGAGGTGCCACGCCTCACTTGGGTTGCACATGAGAACGTGAACAGGCTGACGAAGCAGCCAATCAGAAGCAGTGTGATTATTCCAAATCTGCTCTCCACCAAGGTTCTTCAGGTTATGTCTGGAGGGCTGCGGTTCTCCAAGGTGCGGTTTCCTCCAGAGAAACCAACTTGTGTAAAAGCCGCCCCTCTGCTTTGAACGTCAACCCCCCAAAGGCAGCCGTACCTTAGTGCAGTTGGCAGCTTTCGGCTCGAGGTCATTCAGGGTAACCAGCTCCCGGAGCAGGCTGCTCTCTTGGTAGCCCCCCTTCACCCCTCGCAGTTTGAAGTAAGCCTGAGGTCGCTGGAGGATTAGCCTGAGGTTGACAGCAAAGCCTGCCATGTCGATAGCAAACGGCCGGTGGGGGTCAAAGACTGTTTTCCATCCATACACCTTCCCAGCAGCATTGACCTTGGGGGACTCGTACCGCAAGCCTCCCACGAAAGCCACTGGCCAGACGGACACTCTCCGGGTGGTCCGCATCTGGAAACAAGGGGAGGAGAGAGAGGAGAGCCACACAGTCACACAGCATCCCTGGGATTGGGTCAGTGGAGGAGGACACCGTTGGGAGCGTGGTTGGGGAACAGAGGAACATCTCTTTCTCTCTGATCTCTGACAGCTGGAGCACAAGCTCTTCCCCAAGGTGATTTTCTCAAGAGGCTTCTAAGTCTTGTTATCCCCAGATAGCATAATCGCTGGGCTTGCTGGGCACTGGGGTGGGGAAGGCTTGCTAAAGCTGCGCTAGATGCTCACACGTGTCTTGGATAAGAAGAACAGTCACATCTCTTTGAGTTTACTGTCAAAGAATCATAGGGTTGACAGGGACTTCAGAAGCATCTAGTGCAGCGGTTCTCAAGGTGTGGTCTGGGAACTCCTGCGGGGTCCCTGAAACCCTCTCAAGGAGTCTGCAAAGTCAAATATTTTAAAATTGTTCAGCTTTAATTTCTAATACGGTAAATATTGATAGATATAACCCACATAAACCAAAG